CGGGTCCGTAGGCTTCGAATTCCGCTTACCTCGTTTTCCGGTTCCAGTTTCTTTGTGAAAAGACGTTTTTGCCCTTCGGTTAATAAGAAAGAAAGATTGATCGGGTCTAAAGCGGGCTGGACCTAAACGGATCGGACCCAAACATCATTTAATGGCCCAATTGGTAAATGAAACCCTTAGGGTTATTTTTTTGGCCTTCTTGTAGTGTATATATATAGTGCTTTTTTGTTTGTTGCGGCTGCTTCTCTCCATTGCATAAGGTCGATTCGAGAAGAAGGTATGAATGAAAATCTGGTTTCACCATTGTTTTAGGTTTCAGTTTATTATTATTATCAACTAGTTTTTTTGTAACGATTCGAAACTTTTCATGTGAAGATGGCTACTCCACAAGTGAAGACTGGTTTGTTCGTCGGATTGAACAAAGGACATGTCGTCACAAGACGCGAATTGGCTCCTCGTCCTAATTCTCGCAAAGGGGTATTAAATCTCGCTTTTCTCCGATTTAGACATATAGATACTGGATCGATTTGCTTAGATTGGGTTTTTTCCTTGGCCGATAGTTGCTGTCTTGAGCTCGGGTTTTGAATCTGTGCTGGGTTCATGGGTTTATATCATTTTGCTGTTCCAGTTTATATTTAGCATTGATTCGACTATTCAGTATGAAGATAGAAGTTGAAATGCTTGATAATATTGAGTTATGAGCTGGGAAATGGTCTTCGTGTTGAGCTGCTTTTGAACGTTTTTGTTTTGGGTTGTGTGATTTGAAAATGAGCAAACGAATGGAGATACTCAAATAAATGCTTAGATAGGGCTTTTGGTCAGTAATTTTTGTCTTGAGTTGGGTTTTTGTCTAAATCTGTGCTCTTGTTCATGGGTTTTTGTTTTACGGAGATAAGCTTAGATATTGGTTTGATTCTTCAGTATGTTGTGATAGAAGTTGAAATGTATGATAATGCTGAGATTTGAGCTCTGAGTAATGGTCTTGTGTTGAGCTGGTTTTTGAA